GCTGGGACTGAGGTAGGTTCGGAGGTAGGATAGAAGAAATAAAGATAGGAGATAAGGAAATCTATAGTTGTTTGTTTGTTTTAGAAAACTAGTTTTAAAACTGTTCTTTTCTTTTCTTTTATTTTTTATTTTTGGTACCGGGCGTCGAATTTAGGTCCTTTTGCTCGCACTTGCGAGGCAGTAGGTGGAACCACTGAGCTAAATCCCTGGCCTACCTAAAACTGTCCTTAAAAGAAAACCCCCCCCAAAAAATCCTGCAGCTTTGGGACAAAAAGTTACAATGCCTTATTTTCTCTTTTTTGGGAAACTCAGAAATTCCTGAGTCTTTTTGGTTGATTTGATGGTACTGGGAGACTTTATCTTTTTGTTTGTTTTTGGGTGGTTTTTTGTTTGTTTGTTTGTTTGTTTGTTTGTTTTGTTCCAGAATCAAACTGAGGTCCTCGTGCTTTTGAGGCAGGTGGTGGAACCACTGGGCTAAATCCTCAGCCCTGTGGGAAGCCCTTATTTTAATCCATTGACCTGAGGGTACATCAAGGAGGAATTCATGACAGAGGTTTAACAAAACTTTGACCACTGGGTCCATTTCCAAGGGTCACACGGAGCAAAATCTCCGCTATGAGGCCCACATCCCCACTGGATAATGAGCCACAGGACCTAACTCCAGCAGGGAGCAGTCCACATCCACTCTGTGGGGACAGTGACAACCCACCTGAGTGTACGGGGCCTTGGGACACTGTGCCATTCTCGGACATGCACCTGCACGGTCCCAGAGATGCATGCATCTTCCATTATGTGCAACAGCAACAGTGGAAGAGGTTCCTCCTTTTGTATTTTTAAACCAACCAAGAAGAGACAGGTAATGCGACACTTCCACACCTCTTGGGTAGACAGTTAGATTACAGAGCTAAAGCAGCACAGCTCTCTGCTGGATCCAAACATGGTTCCAGTCGGGAAGGAGAACTGAGCAAGATCAAAGCCAGCTTCCTACGCAGACACCCTGCCAGCTGCAAGTCCAAAGCAACAGTGAGGAGGTTTTAGTGATCAGGAATAATATAAATATGTTCCACACCTCCAAACCCTAAGTCCCTTCCAGACAGCTTTGACAAGAGCAGTTTCTCTCCTGCCCCCAGGT